TTTTCCTCTGACAGGCATTCATAACCTTAGAAGGGAAAAGCAGTCTGTCTCCAAACCTGCGCTGCCTCCCTCCTACCACTTGGGTGTCCTCTTCTTCTCTGAGCTTTCTTTAAGGAGAAGAGTGACTAATCGTTTTTGTTTGTTGGTTCGTTTTATTTTTGTTGTTGTTTTTGTTGTTGTTTTTATGTGTTTTAGAGTAAAAATCAGGGGGAAAACTACTGCTTTGTTTTAGAATAGCCATTCTCAAATGTAGTTCATCAACATCACCCAGAAGGCTTGCTAACCACTAAATTGCTAGGCCTTACGGCCAGAGTTTCTGCTCTAGTAGGTATGGGGTAGGGCCTGAGAATCTGCATGTGTAACAAGCCCCCAGGAGCTGCTGTCAGCTGGGACCACATTTTGAGAATCATCATTTTAGAAGGCCTGAGGTGATTAGGTTGAGATGTTTTTTCTCAACAGTGAAAGAAACAGAGTTTCAATAATTAAAGAAGGAAGTGCTCAACCCCAGAAGATTGCAACCTTAAGAACTGGGATAAGGAAGAAGGTTGGAGACTTCAGAAGAGATCCACAGCCCACCTCAATGCAGCATCCCAGAGCAGAGATGACTATATGGAGGTCTTGTAGCATCAGGACCATAACGTTGAGACAGACACTCAGCAGAGGACTCCAGAACTGAGCTCGGCGTGAAAAATGAAGCTGGCGGTGGAGCTGCCCAATTTGTTAGACTACTCAGGCCTGGACGAGCAGCAACAGCAGCAGTATGCCAGCACGGCTTAGGACCAGGGCCCTCCCTCTCTTCTGGGATTGCATGAGCCTAGGATACAGCCCCAGTGAAGAGCAGGAAGACACCAAGGTTAAATGGTCTTGATTTCTCTCCAATTTAGTCAGGGGAGCCTTAAGCCAGGTTTAATTTGATTTAGAAAAATCATGAAATGTGATGTTTTTTGCTCTCAGAATGTTTCAAAGTAATCCAGGCTTGTTTTAGTATGTTCTGATGAATCAAATTTCCATTAACTATTTAATCGTGCAGTTGTGAGTGTGTGAAACACGGGGAGGATGTGACTGGAGAAGCATTTGAAACAGAGTTTACGGATCCCTGCAGGGCATTCCAACTGGGAATTGCTTTCTTATTGTTAAATGAATGTTGGTGGTTAGTAAAGAAATGGAATTAATGACTCACTCATGGATTCAAGCTGCACTTAATTTTCCAGGCACTGTGTCAGAAATTGAGGATACAAAAATGGATTAAGCATGAAATTTAGTTCTCAGAGGTATTCAGTTTAGAGAAGGGCTGGTTGTTTATTTAGTCTGTCTGAGACACTAATAAGCACCATCATAAATGTTCATACAAAATCCTATGGGAGTACAGAAAGAATGACTAATTCTCTCTAGGAAATAATAGGAATAATAAAATCTTCCAAAAAGGAAATAATGTGTGGGTTGAACCTTGATGAACAATTAGTAGTTCACCAGTCAGACAATGGGGATGAGAAGAGAAATGTCCATTTAGGCGAAGAGAACACAGTGGACAAAGAAGAGTTGAGGGAGATTGTTTATCAAAACATGGGGGGATGACTAGTGGCTTAGTGTCACTGACATTCAGTGTTAGGATGTTGTAGCTGGTGGAAAGAAATTGACAAGAGTAATGCAATAAAAAGGTGGGACCATTTTGAAAAGACCCTATACTCATATTTGGCTGGTATGAGCAAGTATAACAGTACAGATTTTTAAAAAATGTTTATACATCTCCATACCTATTGGTTAACCTCTACCCCAAATCCCCTGAGTAACCCCACCCTGGGCTGCTCTGGTCCTCTCTTGAGACTCCCTCCCGTCATCTCTCTATGATCCAGCAACTAGAAGGTTAATACCAGAGAAACTTTCATAGCTGAGACTCTCCACATATTTCTGCTCTTATGTTTAATATTTCCATACTACTTCTCTCTTTGGAATTAATTTATTTGTCTTCCTCTAACATCTTGAGTTGGAAGCTTAGATCATTGATGTTTAACCATTCTTCTTTTTAAAAAATATGCACTTATAGCTATAAATTTCCCTCTAAGCACTATTTCAATTGCCTCCCACAAAAGTTGATGTTAATGTCATATTTTATTATGATCGACTTTAAAATATTTTATAATTTGTTTTATAAAATTTATAAATGTTAACTCTTCTTTAATCATGCATTGTTTAAAATGTGTGGCTGAATTTTGAAACATTTGAGGACTTCTAGTTATCATCCTTTCATTGATTTCCAGTTTAATTCTACTGCGCTCAAAATAAATCTTCTGTATGATTTTGATCAAAGGATCAAAATCATACAGATTTTGATCCTTTGTTGGAATTTGATTTGGGCCCAGCATGTGACCTGTTTTGGTGAATGTTCTATGTATACTCGAAGAGAATGTGTATTTTCTGGTTGTTGAAAATAAAGTGTAGAACTTAACTCTTCTGAGTTTGACTGAAAGCCTAGACTATTTTCTTATTCCCTTTCACTTTAGGCTTGAATTTCAATCTCCATCAGCCCAGCACTGTGAGGCTATTAAAATACCTGCTCAGCTAAGTAGCCCTTCAACTCCTGTTTTCTGCTGGATATCATGACAACCTGCCACCCTACTGTGTTAGTCAGCTTTGAACATGGTCCCAACGATCCTTGCTTAGTAGTCATACTCTTGTATAACTCCACTCTCCTTGAATGTAGACTGAAATTATTGACTCGCCTCTAAAGAACAGGATATGGCAGAAGTGGTGGGAATGCCACTTATGATACCAGGTTATAAAAAGACTAGCTTTCATGCTGAGCATTCTCTCTCTCACCCTGATGGAAATCAGCTGCCCTATTGTGAAGCAGCCCCATGGAGAATCCCACATGGTGAAAAGTTAAGATCTGTCAACAACTACATGAGAGAAGTTTAAGGCAGTTTCCTTACCCCACCACTAAAGCCTTTAGATAAAACCTCAGCCCCAACTGATAACTTGACTGCGACCTCATGAGAGACCTTGATCCAATGACACCATACTGCACCTGGATTCCTGACCTACAGAAACTGAGATAATGAGTGTTTGTTCTTTTAAGACATAAAGTCTTAGCATAAATTGTTATTCAGCAAGAGGTAACTAATACAGAGAGAAATGGACAAATAATGAGAAGCAGATGGATTCAGGAATTTGGGGGGTTTGGGGAGTTGTTTTGTTCTTGAGGACATGCTAACAGATTGGGTTGGAATGTGCGTAAGGGAACATGAGAAACAGAGAATTACTCATGGGTTTAGCTTAAACGGCTAAGTGAACAGTAATGCCATTTACAATGATTGAAAAATCTGAAGAAAAATCAGCAGCGTGTACAACTGTCAGGTAGCAGTTACATATACAACTCTGGAGTTCTGAGGACAAAGGGCTGGAAATCAGATTTGGGATAATAATAGCATCAACCTCGCTGGTTATAAGCATTAGGTGATATAATGAGATAAACCCTTTGCATAGTGAACACGATTGTTATCTGTAGTATGTAGAATTGTGTCCCTCAAGAAGATGTGTTCAAGTCCTAGCCCCTGGTACCTGTGACTGAGAGAAATTTTTTGAAGAAAGAACTAGTAAAACATGAAAAGTGAGCTTGAAGGTAAGGCTACTAAAACGGATAAGAAGTGTCCACAGAAGCAGCCAGTTGATTGGGAGAAATAACCTGGGCAGAGCTGAGGTTCTCCAGATTGGAACTGTTCAAAGATGTGGTTTTGTTTTGTTTTGTTTTTGTTTTTACTAAAGTCCTGGCTCCCCCTAGTGGACAAGATGAGCATCCAGAGTCTGTAGTGAAGTGGGTTCTCTTTGGAACTGTGTTCTCTCGCTTTGGAATCAGGGTTGTTTCTGTTTCTCTTCATATGTTTTGGGTACCATGTTTCTTTTTTTACTAAGTTTTTTTTTCCTATTGCCTCTGCTCTAAAGTCACATCCTCTTTATCTCTGTCAGTAAAGTCGCGAGCCCTGCAGGACTGAGGACAATTATGTTTAAGGTGCTTTTTCAGTTTTGATCCAGTTAGGAAAACATTTCAAATTTCTGAAGTCTGTCCTAAAAAGTGTAATTCACACTAGAGCTGTTGAGCTGGCATTTAAATAAACCACAATTTAAGAAGTAGTTAAAATGGTTTACATTAGTTCCCTTTGTCCAAAGGAACTTAGAAGATTCCTTAGAATTTACTTCCATTGGTCCGGAAAAAAAAAAAAAAAACAACACCTGGTAAAGAGTCTCGATCATACTAGTAGTGGAAATAGAAAGCTGGTGGTCCAAAACAGCCCTATAGAATCCTCTATTCCAACTACATCAAGGGACAGAGAGTGAGGGTGTGTGTGAATGAAGCGTCTGTTAAAGAACATTGGGCTGAGACAGGTGGTTATCTAATGTCTGTGAAGTCAGCTCACGGGTTACATGTTCTGTTTAGCGTCAGTCCTCGGAATAGATCAAAGCAGAGGGCAACACTTGAACCCAGAGTTCTACTATGTGAAGATCCTTCGAAAATCCTGACAATCACAGACACTAATTAAAGTAGTCAGCTAATTAAAGAAGGGGAAGTGAAGCTTGCCTTGGTGTAGTCAATAAAAGCCTATCTGATTTAGGGTCTGGCCATGAAAAGAGTCCACTATCATTGCTTTTCAAAAGAAAAATGGTCTGGAGATCATGCACTCTTAGGACCACGTTTCATCAAATGGGATCATTTCAAAGATAAGGGGGTGAGGAAGAAAAAAAAATTCAATAGTTACATTTGGAAATAAAAAAAGCGGGGCGGGGGATAGCGAATCAGTCTTTCTCCAGCAACACGGGAGAATAAAGGGTTACGACCACTTCCTTCTGAAACTCGGAAGAACCAAAGGGGTGTGGTCTGGTGGTCTCTGCTGCCGCCTCCCTCCTCCCCCGCGGCGGGCGCGGCGAAGTTCAGCACCTCGGAAAGCGCCCCCTCGCGTTCCCAAGGGTTACGCATGCTCCTTGCGAGCCCGCAGCCTCGGCTTTGCGGGTGCGACTAGAACTCGGGTGAGCGCCTGTGACAACTCACTGGGAGTTGACAACGGCCGAAAGACGGAGACTCTGGCGACATCGACAGATTTTCAGAGAGTCACAGAGAGGTAGACGGAGCTCTCCTATCTTTTTCTCTCAAAGGATAGAAACCTCATCCAAGCTGCATCAGAAGAAACCGACAAAGGTATTTGAAAGAGAAGGAGCGGGGCCCCCAATAGCTGTCCTGAGCAACTGAGTGGGTTATGTGCTAGTGCCCAAGTGACAGCGGCAAACGCAAGAGGGAGGAATGTCTGAATAGTACGGTAGAGACTCCCACTTTGGCCTGAGAGCTCTTGGACGACGACCGTTCGATTTAGCAATTACGGTCCTCTGCTCTCTAACTCCGCTCCAGAGCAGACGCTCAGCGCAGCTGCGGTGCCCAGGCCCGCGCTCCGCGCTCTTTGAAAGCGCCTGGCACTCAGTTCCTAGGCGCGGTCTTCAGCTGCTGCTTCGAAAGCTCCCACGCACTCCCTGCGCCCTAGCTCCGGAACGGAACCCCGGGCAGGCTGGACTATCTTAGGTCTCGTCCCCTGGAACATGACCTAGAGGCATCTGTACATGCAGGTGGCCATTATAGCCACGATGGCCACCGTGAATAAGGCGGATGGCGGGGACGAGCTCGCAGAACTCTTCCGTCTGATCCCGGACCTTCTGCAGGCGGCCAACACGAGCGATAACGCGTCGCTGTCGCTCCCGGACTTGTGGTGGGAGCTGGGGCTCGAGTTGCCGGACGGCGCGGCGCCGGGGCATCCCCCAGGCAGCGGCGGGACAGAGAATGCGGACACCGAGGCCCGGGTGCGGATCCTCATCAGCGTGGTGTACTGGGTGGTTTGCGCGTTGGGGTTGGCTGGCAATCTGCTGGTGCTCTACCTGATGAAGAGCAAGCAGGGCTGGCGCAAGTCCTCCATCAATCTCTTCGTCACCAACCTGGCGCTGACGGACTTTCAGTTCGTGCTCACCCTACCGTTCTGGGCGGTGGAGAACGCTCTCGACTTCAAATGGCCCTTCGGCAAGGCCATGTGTAAGATCGTATCCATAGTGACGTCCATGAACATGTACGCCAGCGTCTTCTTCCTCACCTCCATGAGCGTGGCGCGCTACCATTCGGTGGCCTCGGCTCTTAAGAACCACCGGACCCGAGGGCACAGCCGCAGCAACTGCTGTAGCCAGAGCCTGGGGGACAGCTGCTGCTTCACGGCCAAGGCGCTCTGCGTGTTCATCTGGGCCTTGGCCGCGCTGGCCTCGCTGCCCAACGCTGTCTTCTCCACCACAGTCAAGGTGCTGGGTGAGGAGCTGTGCCTGGTGCGCTTTCCCGACAAGTTGCTGGGCGGTGACAGGCAGTTCTGGCTGGGCCTCTACAACTTGCAGAAGGTGCTGCTAGGCTTTGTGCTGCCTCTGGGCATCATCAGCCTGTGCTATCTGTTGCTAGTGCGCTTTATCTCCGACCGCCGCGTGGCAGGGACCCAAGGAGGGGACTCAGCAACCGGGGGAGGACTGGCTGGAGCCAGCGCCCGGAGACGGTCCAAGGTTACCAAATCAGTGACCATCGTGGTCCTATCCTTCTTCCTGTGTTGGCTGCCCAACCAGGCACTCACCACCTGGAGCATCCTCATCAAGTTCAACGCGGTGCCGTTCAGCCAAGAGTACTTCCTGTGCCAGGTGTACGCGTTCCCCGTGAGCGTATGCCTGGCTCACTCCAACAGCTGCCTCAACCCTATTCTCTACTGTCTCGTGCGCCGCGAGTTCCGCAAGGCGCTCAAGAGCTTGCTGTGGCGCATCGCGTCGCCTTCGCTTACTAGCATGCGCCCATTCACGGCCACCACCAAGCCTGAGCCGGAGGATCAGGCCCTGCAGGCCCTGGAGCCTCTCCATCCCGCCGCAGAGCCCGACCTGCTCTACTACCCACCTGGAGTGGTGGTCTACAGCGACGGCCGCTACGACTCGCTGCCCAGCGGCTCCACCTACTGACCCAGGCTGAGGCCCAGGGTGCGCGGTCACCACAAAGTGGCCGTCCAGGAGCGCGGAAAAAGGAGAGCGGATTGGGGGATGTAAGGGGGGCCTTCACGGAACAAAAGGTAGGTGGGACGAGGATGGGGAGAAGCGCAGAGGGGCAGCTCGTGAAAGGCCAGGGACCTTCTCAGAGAGGGGCGGCTTCTAACCAGGTGGAGAGAGGAAACAGGCAAAGGGGCCGAGAGCAGCCTCAAAAGGCCAGGCCACCAACTTCTGTCCCCTTTCTCTCCACGTACACCTTTTCCTCTCCTCACGTTTGTGAGCGCTGGGCAATGTGGGGGGCGCCCAGAAGCGAAAGCATCAGGAATGTAGAGAAATCTGGGCGCAAGGAAGTTGGGCTCGGCCAAATGGAGCGCAGACAATGAGTGCATTTATTCCAGCGACTTTGTGGAGCTGCGTGGTGCAGCCGGCCAGGGAAAGCCGCCCACAAAAACCTTTCCTTTGCTTCTTGGCCGGGGAGACTGACCTGAGTGGCTGCGCCAGCAGCCTAGGATTGGGGAGCAAGAAGCTTTCGGAGATGGGAGAAAAGAGTGACAATCTCCACCCCTAGGAGAAATGCATCCCAAGAGAGACACCTCTCATGGGGCCATCGTACTGTTTATCTTCCCGGACAAAGCTGTGGGAACACGGGGAGCCTGACTTTGCCTCTCTGCACTACCTTTGCGCTCTAATGTCATTGGGGGCAAAACGCCTGTATCCAGCAAGACAGAGCGATTTGCTGGGGAGTGGCGTCGGCGCGGGAGGGAGCAGACATAGTGTGATTAGAGGCTGAATAGAGAGACCTCCTCAGGCTACTGATCCTGAAAGAAAAAGAAGGGGCTCATGTGCTCACCCAGTAACCGAACAGGAAGTGAGTGCACCCTCTGATGGAGGCCTGGGAGCCTCGGTTCTTCTGAGCACAGGTGGGTGCCTGGAGACACTGTATGCTCAGGTCTGCTGGCTGCAGATAGTGAGCTGTGCCCAGGAGCAACTTGGAAAGGTCTGGGTAGAAATGCTACTGGGAGTGGGGATTTTGAAAGGGAGAAAAGGACTGGGGGGTGGGAGGAGTGGGATGCTCTAGCTCCCTCCCTTCCTCATCTTCCTCATCCCAGTAGCTCAGCCAGGGCTCTATCTGAAAGGAGCTCCGCTTGTAACAAAGACCATGCCCTGTGGTTGGCCAGAGATGACTACTTTTGACTTCTTGGGGGTCCAGGTAAGATGGCCCTCCATTGCAGGTCACCCTCCCAGCTGACCCAATCATTCATTTCAAAATCTCCAAACACCAGAACGGTCCTTGGAGAAATGGTCAGGAAATAAACACTGAGCTCAGGAAATGATGCCATTTCTAAACCTTGCAGACCCAAGGACAGGTAGGCAAAGCAAGAGAGGTGAATTGGTGCTGTTTCTTTTGTAATGCTGTGTCACTTGGGGTCCTCTGAACATTTGCCCCTCATTGCCCCATGCTGTGGTGTTAGGAGCAGGTGTTCTCGCTGATGGCTCCTCTAAGTCAGTCATGCCCTTGTTTCTCTACGAGGGATGATGCGAGGGGAAGAGGGAGGAAGGAACACTGGGGAAGAAGGAGTCATTTGGGATGTGACCCTCCTGAAAGAATGAGGTGACTTCACTTGAGAATGAATATACCAACGGAATGCACAGGGACCCGACCTGGAGGCAGAAAACGAAAAGTCCCGTCCACCTCCCCTCACCTGCACCCCACCACTAGTGTGGAGAGAAGAGTAAGGATTGGAGGTCGATACGTGACACAAAAGCACTTTCAGGTTTGAGAAGACGGCCCAGCTCAGTCTTTAAAGAATCAGGAATCTGGAGCCTGGGGATGGGATAAACTGGGATAAACTGCAGGAGCCTGGACTGCCTGGTGCTGGATAAGGGAGCTGCATGTTCTGCAGGTGGCAAGTGGGAGCAGTGGGCAGGAAGGAGTGCCCCCTTCAGTGCAAGCCCCCATCCTCCGCCCACCCCCCACATACACACACAAATTAGAAGTGCCCAGAGCTCAGGCATGTTCCAGATGTCCACACCCAGCATTTGTCCCAGTCACAGGCATGCTAACTCAGTAGCAGCAGAGAGAGAGGGCTCTTGGAAAAAAGAAAAAAAAAAGCAGGCAATCAAGAGAATCGCATCAGCAAGCCTGGAAGCCCACGCAGTGGCAAGAGAATGAGTGTGAGATGACAGAGACGCAGTCTGAGGCCACTGGAGAAATTGAGGAGAGAGAGGCCTCAGCGCAATGGCAATGGAGCCACTCTCCGGCTATGCTCTTAGGCTGGTACCCATCAGTACTGCCCTTACACCTGGCAGCCAAGGCCCCTGCCCTGGGCTTGATTATTAGAAGATTCTGCTTTGCCTTCCCCTTCCAACAGCACCCTACCCCACATGAAAAGGAATCCACAGGGCCACCCGGAGCCTGTGCCTCACCACCATTCTAGATTATGCTCCAGTACCTGGGACATCAGAATTCCCTACCCAAATGACCTTGACTCTATCTACGAGGCCTTCACGGTCCTTTCCTAGTCCATCCTCCAGAGGGTGGACCACACTGCTGAGTCTCTGTGCCCTGAGATGTGAGGGGTGGCTGAGGATGGCTGTTTGCAGGTGTGGTAGAGGGCGGAGGGGTTGGGCAGGCTATGGATGTGCTATGCCAAAGTGCACACAAGGGCTTCACAGTGCTGGGTGGGGAAAGAAGGGGTGCCTGTGGACCGAGGGCCTTCTTGCCCTGCACCCTGCAAATGTTAGGAGTGGGCCTGTAGCCCTTATATACCCAGCAGCGGTGTGAAAGAAGGACCCAAAGCCTTCTGAAGACCAACAGGAACACACACACCTTCCTTAGCACAACTACCCCAAAGGAGCTGATGCTGCAGGGGCCTGGCCATGCTGCTAAATCCATCCATTCTGCCAAGCCCAAGGTAAATAAAACCAAATCTCAAGGCTTCTGTTCTCAAAAGCAGCTCACCTCCTTTCTCCACATTCCCTTCAGCATTAGAGTTTTTGGTAAATTAGAAATTCATCGGAGGCGATGACTACACTACCAGACTCTAAGATGAGGCAGGAACGGAACCACGTACACTTTTTAACTTGTAAAAACATGTGGGCCAATCTCTATCCTGCAGTGCTCAGGCACATCTGGAGTTGTGGAGACAAACATTTATGAAGGACTGGGGTGGATCCAGGCATGGGGGAACAGGATGCAGAGCCTTTACAAATAGTGACAATAGCTCTCATTTATCGAGTACAGACCAACTGCCAGCCTCCGGGCTAAGTGCTGTTCTTATGAGAAACAGTAGAACCTGAGTACCTGAGTTCAAAGCTCAGCTCTGCCACTTTGGAACTGTGTACCTTCAGATGAATTATGTAATGTTTCTCTGCTTCAGTTTCTTCATCTACAACCCATAGATCAGTAACAGCATCCACTCCCAAGATTGCTGTGTTAACGCAGGTAAAATATTTAGAAGAGTGGTAAGCACTCGATAAGTGTTATACGTTATTAATAGTCACAAGTCTTTGATTATTAGAAGATTCTGCTTTGCCTTCCCCTTCCAACAGCACCCTACCCCACATGAAAAGGAATCCACAGGGCCACCCGGAGCCTGTGCCTCACCACCATTCTAGATTATGCTCCAGTACCTGGGACATCAGAATTCCCTACCCAAATGACCTTGATTCTATCTACGAGGCCTTCACGGTCCTTTCCTAGTCCATCCTCCAGAGGGTGGACCACACTGCTGAGTCTCTGTGCCCTGAGATGTGAGGGGTGGCTGAGGATGGCTGTTTGCAGGTGTGGTAGAGGGCGGAGGGGTTGGGCAGGCTATGGATGTGCTATGCCAAAGTGCACACAAGGGCTTCACAGTGCTGGGTGGGGAAAGAAGGGGTGCCTGTGGACCGAGGGCCTTCTTGCCCTGCACTCTGCAAATGTTAGGTGTGGGCCTGTAGCCCTTATATACCCAGCAGCGGTGTGAAAGGACCCAAAGCCTTCTGAAGACCAACAGGAACACACACACCTTCCTTAGCACAACTACCCCAAAGGAGCTGATGCTGCAGGGGCCTGGCCATGCTGCTAAATCCATCCATTCTGCCAAGCCCAAGGTAAATAAAACCAAATCTCAAGGCTTCTGTTCTCAAAAGCAGCTCACCTCCTTTCTCCACATTCCCTTCAGCATTAGAGTTTTTGGTAAATTAGAAATTCATCGGAGGCGATGACTACACTACCAGACTCTAAGATGAGGCAGGAACGGAACCACGTACACTTTTTAACTTGTAAAAACATGTGGGCCAATCTCTATCCTGCAGTGCTCAGGCACATCTGGAGTTGTGGAGACAAACATTTATGAAGGACTGGGGTGGATCCAGGCATGGGGGAACAGGATGCAGAGCCTTTACAAATAGTGACAATAGCTCTCATTTATCGAGTACAGACCAACTGCCAGCCTCCGGGCTAAGTGCTGTTCTTATGAGAAACAGTAGAACCTGAGTACCTGAGTTCAAAGCTCAGCTCTGCCACTTTGGAACTGTGTACCTTCAGATGAATTATGTAATGTTTCTCTGCTTCAGTTTCTTCATCTACAACCCATAGATCAGTAACAGCATCCACTCCCAAGACTGCTGTGTTAACGCAGGTAAAATATTTAGAAGAGTGGTAAGCACTCGATAAGTGTTATACGTTATTAATAGTCACAAGTCTCCTAGGTAGGAATTATTACCCCCATAGATAAACAAGTGTGCCTTGGGGATGTTCAGTAGTTTGCTGATGAGCAGCAAAGCCAGGATTCAAAACCAGCCCAGCTCTAAAGCCCACGGTCTGTCTTTCAACCATGGTGCCTCTTGAGGCTGCTGAAAACCTCGTGAGAAGCAGTGGAAGGGGGATGGCTGGAGAAAAACTGCTTCGCTTGGAGAAGGGATGATCACAGGAGATGGGAGGCCAGTTTTGAACAGCTTTTATAGGGACTCCAGAGGATGGAACAAAGGTACAGATTAGAGAGAAATACTTTCACTGCATAAATTAAATGAGTTGTTCTGAAGTAGTAAATCCTCCAACATGAGATATTCGAGCAGTCTTGTCAGCGATAACATAAATGAATGTGAAGTAATTATAAGCAAGTTAAATATGAATTAACTATGAGTGAACGGACATCATGAAATGAGTCACCAGCAATATTTTGAGTACTGGTGAATCTGATAAAAAATATGACTCTCCAACTATATATGGACTCCTAGTTAAGAAAAAGAATACATCATAGAAAAAATCCAGGAGTCATGTGTAGAACTAGACAACTTCTCCGGTTTCATTAAGATCCGAAATGCCCTGTGGAAAACAGACGCTGCCTCTCCATACCCTTGCACTGAGACACAGGGAGAAAGGTGCGTGCAAGTGCTATCACCCATACTCCCCCTTTGCCGCCAGTGAATGGAGGCATAGCCCAGTCTTTCCCAAGACAAATGATACCTGAAATACGGGGACTGTTGTGCAGAGGGCTGGGCACTTAGGGTAGATCACTGCAACTGGGGTAATAACACCGGGCTTGCAATGGGCAGACCCCAAAGCTGCAGAGCTGAAGAAAAGATTGATTTCCTGCCATGTGCTCCACTGTGTCTGAAGTTAGGGACAGTGTCTCTTTATGACCTAATCCACACATCTAACAAAAAGAGCCACGAAGCAACAGCCAATCAGCGCTACCGCGGAGGCTGTGATCACCACGACAACGACGCTCCCAGCCATGTTGACCAGAAAGCCCAGGCCACCTCCGACCAGGATCTGAGCCAGCTGCACCATGCAGGTGAGGGTGGCGCAGTCCAGGCCCTCCCCTCTTCCGCTGCAGGCTGGGCCCCCTTCCTGGGCCTGCTGCTTCTGCAAGGGAAACACAAGAACAGCATTTGATCTACACAGAACTGTCTTTTACAGCAGAAGTGGGCAACTTTTCTCTGTAAAGAGCCAGACAATAAATACTTCCAGTTTTGTGGGTCACAGGGTCTTGGCTGCAGCTACTCAACTCCACCTTGTAGTGCATGCAGCTACGATAGATAACCGAGTTCCAATATAACATCATGGACATTGGTACTTGAATTTCATGTAATTTTCACTTGTCACAAAATATTGTCCTTCTACTGATTTTTTTAAATCATCAAAAATGTTAAAAGAATTTTTAGCTCACAGGAGGTACAAAAGAGGTGGCCAAGGAGACATAGTTTGCCAACCCCTGATTCAAGATCACCAAGCTCCACTCTTTTACCTGAAGATGTCTTTCCTACCTGTCGCAATGGCTTAAATTCCACAGTTAACACCCATGGTAGTTAAATGGGTAATGCATGTAAAATTATCTCTTCCTCAGAAGTCAATAAACACGATGTAGTAGAAGCTCAATAAATATCTCATTCCTTTCCTTCTTTATGGTTAAAAATTCAAAGGATGTTAAATAACAGATATATGTAGGAGAAGCAACATAAAAAAAGAATTCAACTTTTCAAAATATGATTGATATCCGGTTAGTATATTAACATTTGATTAATATTTGATATTTGGTCTGAATCGGTTGGTAATGTTGCCATTTGTTGGGTGTCCTTTATGTGCTAGGTGTTGTACAAGGTTCTTTCATGTATATTATTTCATGTCATCCTCACCACCTCCCTAGATGCACATATTATTATCATTATTCCCCATAATAACAATAATAACTACCACTTTGAGTCTTTGCCAGGTGCTAGTTAGGCACTAAGCTAGGCAGATAACCTACACTATCTTGTTTAATTTAATTTTCTGACAACTCTGTAAGGTGAGAGTGTTATTCCTATTTGATTGATTAGAAAACAGGCTCTGGGAGTTTAAATAATAATTTCTATACTAGTAAGTAAAAAAAACAAAAAGTGCCCCAAACACATATTATCCTTTGAATAAGAGAGGGAAAATACGAAAACAGATTAGTACTTGCTTGATTTTCATTAAAAATACCGAAACAATAAACAAAAACCTAATAAGAGAGAGAGAAAAACTATGAAGGGAGCCGTGGGCGGAGCCACTTCTTAATGCAAATTTCTGTATAACATTGTGATTATTGAACTATGGAAATATATCACCTCTGTGAATGAAGTAATATTTAATAAATCAATGAATGACATTCCAGTGTCACACAGCTGCCAAGCGGGGGAGACGGGATTTGAATCCAGTTTTCTCTGAGTCCTAAGCTTACATGTTTTTGCCCTGGTACCATCTACCTCTCTCCGTGGGAGGACAGTTCTTTATGACGGCTCTCTTTAACAGCAAAACCCCGGCGAGCCCTGAGACATGAGTGATGATGTTTGCCTGGGGGTGAGGACAAGCAGGACTCTTGTTTGAAAGGTTTTAACTTCTGGTAAAATTCTGCCCTGCTGTGGCATTTGCCAGATCAAATAATGAAAAAGAAGACGGGCACCGAGGTCACATGGACGTGTGTGCAGTGGTCTTGCAGTTTCATGCCGTGATGGATTAAACTGGAAGTTCTCTCTTTAGCTTTTACATCACTGTTCCAGTTAAGAAAATGTAAGCTTATTTTCATGGGGAAAAAGCTGCATATTTGGTAAGAAGATGTTATAATCTTAGAGCAGAAATCCCCAAGCTAGTGTTCTTTTAGGGAGGTTTAGGGCCTTGCCCTCTAGCCTGAGCTCCCAGGTGGAGGAGATGGGGCAGACCTGCCTCGAGGCAGGTGGTGGCGGTGATCACCTGCCACCGCTTTCCCGCCCGTGCACAGGGTCCGAGTTACTAACATCTGGACTTCCAAGGAAAGTATTGCCCAGGAAGGTCCTACCCTCAATCGGTAACTCCCAGAAATTGTGCCCTGCACTCTCTGGGACTCAGAAACGCCACAGATGCACTGGACATGTGAGACAGTTGTCAGAAGCCCTGGTTCCCTCTCCTCGTCTCTGTGTGATATTGGGCTGACCTCTCAGCACTGCCAAGCTCCTTTTTCCTAATCTGACAGATGACAGTGACGGTACCTGCCCTGATGCTCCCAGACGCACAGGGCTTCCGAGTGAGGAGGAGGGGGCGGGCGGGGCAGGTGGTCATGCCTCGGCTAGGTCACCGTTACATCTGGCTGGGCATTTTAGTGCTGTTGTTCCAAGAATCCGTATTTTCCTTCTCTGCGCTACACTTTCCTACCAAAGCCCCAAGCCTTTAGGTGAGCCGGGATGTCGCCCAGCACAGAGGTGTACCTGCTGCTCCTGCTCCTCGCGGTGGTACTCGGCAATGAGGTTAAAGGGTATGGTGCTCAGGGTGCTGGACATCACGCCAAACGAGGCGCACAGCGCCAGGGTGGAGTAGACATTCCGGAAGAGGCCCATAAGTCCCGTCCCCAGGCCGAACAGCAAATACCCCATGAAGTAAAGACCCTTTAATCCAGTGTAAGATACCAAAGCTTTCTGAAAGTCTGTGGGGAGAAGAGGGAGAAATTACAGCTGGCAGTGCCTCACAATACTAATAATTTCAGAAAATCCTTTCTTTTGAAGATTCACTTTTTTTAGGAGCCTTCTTTTGATACTGAGTCGGGAACAAAAGAACCTCCTTATCTGTGCTTGAAAACAGCTGGCTTTTGGAGTCAGTTTTAAATCTCATGCAGAAAGGAGAGTTGGGAATTGCCTTTGAGGTTGTTCTCATTCCCACAGGAAGAGACCAGGCACTGTTTAGCAGGCAGCTGAATAGCATCAGGATGCAAAAAAAAAGGTGGTGACAAAAAGTCTGTCTGGCTCTGGGCCCCTGAGGCTGCAAGGCATGGGAGAAATGTGGGGGCATTCTGACTCACAGAGGTCTAGCCTAACAGGACCCAAATAACAATCCAGGCCTCCCTTGGCCCAAAGCCCAAAGTCAGGCTGGAGAAAATTAAAACAACCAGATTTTACAGAGTACTCCACGTCACTCAGGTCTTTGCCCCGCCGCCACCCAACCCCCGCCTGAATGCTGTCTGCACACCTGAGAAGGAAGTAGAAGATGCTCATTAGCTTCAGACACTTTGCCTGACTTGCCAGCCCTCCCCAGGCTGGTGAGGGGCTCCCACCGCCCCAGCACCTCCCCATCGCCAGCCCCTTCATTCTCTGCAGATGACCTCCTGACCTCAAAACCTCAGCTTCCGCATCTGAAAAATGGGTCTAATAATACCCTTTTTGGGGGGTAGGGTGGGATGGGGTGTTGCCAGCATCAAATGAGATAAAGTGTCTGTGAAATCACCTAGCCCCATGCCAAGCACGTAGAAGACATCCAGTTAATGGTAGTTATCATTATTTCAGCAAACATAGGCTGGGCTGAGGATGGATGACTCAGCTCGGGTTCACTCCCAGCAGGTAAACTTCGCTCGCTCATAAAGGCGTTATGATAGAGCTCATTTTTAAAAATTGAAAATTCTGCTTCAAAATGTTTTATAATGTTTTTCCCCCAGGGCATGGGAAGTCCTTAAAAAACTTTTATCTTCCTTTTTCAACCAGGTGTTTTTAATCCATACATTTCTAATCTTTCCCCAGTCCCACTCTCGTGGGACACATGAACCAGGGGATAAATGAGAGATACTCAATATGCGCCTAGTCAAGAGTGCTCTTCTTACAAGAATGAGCATAGTAAATAGTTCCCCTATCTTTTGAAAGCACAAAGGGATTGAGATGATTAGACCCTTTTAGTCTAATTCTCCCTGATTCTATTTTAAGTACTGAAAATCTTCCTCCTGGAAAGAAAAAAAAGAGAGTGCTAAGGAAATGAAAGCTTTAAGCCACCACTATTTGGTTCTAATACATTTAAAAACAATGAATTTTATGGCTTTATGATTATTGGGCTTACAAATTCCTCACCTGTTGATGTTAAGCCCCTCTTGCCTAATTGTGCTATATTCTGAAGAGAGTTTCTTGATCTCAAGGCAGATTTCCTCCTGTGCTATGGCTAGGTAAAGGGCTAATCACCAGATGAGGGGTCATTGTATACATTCACCCTCTTTCCCCACAAGAAGCACACTTCAAGGACAGAATGATGTCCCCGAGAATGGTAACAGAGATTGCCCCCCATTGCCTCCCCGCCCCCTCCCCCATATAAGCCATACCTCTGCCCAGGGCCTGCCAAAGCCTAGATCTCTGCATGGGGGGGCCAGCTGTTCTCCCCACAATGCTGGACTACTTCCTAAATTTCCACTCCAAATTGGGGACCCGCATACATTTTATAGACCAGAGTTTGGCTTGGAAATTTCCACACACATTAGCAGGCACAAAATGAGCCTGTGTGATGCCTTAGAGTTGGAGTACATTTGTCTGGACTTATTTAAAACAAGTCACAGAAATCCCTTTGTTCATAGTGTCCTTACAGCTGAAACTTAGCTATGTGGGGGGTTAACAGGCTCCAGACCCCATGGAAAGCTGGGGCCTGGGAAGGAAGATCCCGCTGTCAGCGCTCCCCGCCAGGATCTCTATCCCTCGTCTATCCAACACTTTATTATCTTGTTTACAAGATTTCCTTTTATTTTTCCAGAGAATCTGATCAGGAACCCACTGATTGTAATGACAAAGTAATCACTGAGGAAAATGACACCTAGCATTCACTACGAAAAGAACTTTTATCTTTCCATGTGGTCCTTTCTAAAAGAATAGTTTTTCTTGACTTCCACATATTCATCAAGAATCTGGTATTTTAAAGAGCAAAAAATAAATATAGAAATACGAAATCTAAGATTTTGCTAGACCAAGGCCCTTTAGAAGACAAACTCAGGAAGAGGAGACTTACAAGAATAAAGTGAGGAAAACAGGGAGTTGAGGCACAATCCCCAACATCCAACCTCGACCCCTCTTTCGTAGATGAGGAACTCTGTGGAGTTGTGTGCGCTGTAGGGATCCCCGTGGTACACAATCTGGAAGAGACATTTGGGACTGGTGAGATACAGATGCAGGCTGGTAGGGATCCCTTCTCATATGCTGTTTCTCCGTCCCTAGCGAGCAGCAAGCCCTGCCTGAGGTCCCCTTTCTAGGGCACAGAGTTTATTCTCCAAAAACCACGTCACCTGCTTCCTCCTCCCACACCTCTACTCAAGGACCTCTGGGAAGTCCAAATACCTGCTGCATTAAGTCTACACGACACCCTCCTGAATCACTAACACCCCTTCTTCCGCCTAACATCTGGCCCCACCCAACTCAGGCCACCGTGCCACCCATCTTCTAGTACAGCCAACAGGCTTCTCGTTTCCACACATGACATTTCTATTCCTGCTTGGAATGTTTTTCCATTTCCTCTCTCTCTCGCCAACTCCTACTCACCCTTCAAGGCCCGGATCATACTGCACCTCCTTTATTAAACCTGCCATGACCACTGTAGCTCACCTTAATTTTCCTCTATTTATTGTATTTGATCAAGTACTGGTCCCATAGTGTCCTCTACTTGTTCGGGGTGACCCTTGCCTCTAGAACCCATCTGTAAGTCGGCTCCTTAAGGGTACTCTTTCATACACTCTTACTGTGACCATCCTAGAGGCTAATCCAGAAGAAGCTCTATAGGTGCTGACTGAAAAATAGATGTGCTAGGTAGTGAGTATATGCACAGACATGTTCGTTACCTGGCCCATGAAATCTGTGAAGAAGAGCATGTTGCACAGGAAGGCGGTCCATCCAATGAGGTGGCTGATGCAAAGGCAGCGGTGGTGGGAAGGCATACTCACCAGAGCCCTCAGCAGTGACTTCATGGTCATTGCCCTCTGAGTCTGGAATAAACATGAAACAGGTGTGACCTTCAGTGCAGACACACAGCCAGCTGTGGGAGCCAGAGCACATAGCCATGTTACCTATCTATAGTCGACCAACGCACATGGTTACACCTTCTGGGCATGGCACTAAAGTTTTTGTGGAGTGGCCTCTAGGAGGTGTGAAGTTAAGTGTGCATGGATACTTAGCAGTTTTAGGCCCAGGATAGGGCTTTGGGGAACTGAGGCAGAAGGGACTGGAAATGGAGCTTGATTGGGGCCAAGCTATAAGAGATATCTAGCACCCTATCTTTCAATGACAGAACCACTGTATAAAGACAAAGCTCCCAGACCTAAGCTAGCCTTAGATGACTGTAACTCTTAGATTCCATGACTCAGAAAGTGTGGCAGAGTGAATTCTAACATGGCCCCACAGTCTCCGTCTCCTGGCATTGCCACATGGTTGTTATGTTACATGCAAAGGGATTTTGCAGACATAATTAATGTTACTAATCAGCTGACTTTGACTTAATCAAAGGGAAGATTACCTGGGTGACCCTAACCAAATCACATGAGCCCTTTAAAAAGAAGAGAGTTTTTTTCCAGCTGGAAGCGGCAGCAAAGGGCGGAGTTTCAAATCACAAAAATTGCTGATTTTGGAAGTAAAGTGGGACACATACACACACACAATGAGTACATATCCTCCAAATTCTTAAATTTAGACCTAAGTTATGTTAAAACTAGAGGCTACAATACAATTTTTAGTTATCAGAAGCCTCCAGAGAAAGAAAAATTTTGAACTATTGACACAACTGTTTTGAAATAAATGAAACAGCTTTAACATCTTGTCATAGAAGAAAGAAACCTCGGGAATACTAAGCAGTCAGCTGCCCTAAAGACACTGAGACTGTAAATATCAACCATGGTGGGGTAATGGGTCTTCCTTGTCCAACTTTTATTTATTCTGAATCTTGACATAATGAAGTTGAATCTTGGCTAGTTTACTTATAAGATGGTCTCTTGAGATTTTCTGTTTTAACTATAACAGCATATTGTTTTTATAACTCTTAACCTTACATGATAATGCCTTTTACTTCTTTATTACAGAAAAATATATTAACTCATGGTAGATTTTTGTGTAAATTGTTTTTTTTAATTCATTAATTTTATAGTATTTAAACTACTGTCCATGACTGAACTAATTTTCTTAACCAGTATTTAAAAGCATTTAAAACTATATAGACTTTCCTTTGGATTTAGAAAAAATAACTATTTTCTGAGTGTAAAATATACTTGTCAAAATAAATGGTGACCATAACAGAAAGTCAATGCAGAATTATTAATTTTTCCTTAACCACAGGAAAAAGCAGCTAAAGGTGCAGACTGAGGAACTCAGCTTGATTGTCATGCCTTGGACTAAGTGACTTATCTTCATTTCCTTCCCTTCTTTCCAAAATGCAAAATGTTTAAAAGTGAATCTGGCCAGCAAGTATTCAGCCTCATCCTAAATATTAATGTATGTTTCTGCCTTATACGTAATTTTCAGCCTGCTTTCATTGTTAACCTAATTTTTCCTTTCTTCTTAAAGTAAATATGAGCTTTCACATTGTGCCTAATATTTCTATATAAGAATACAAATATTCAAAGCTTATTTGCATATTTCAATTCAGAATAAAAGATTCAGCTGGCATCATATTCTCTGACTCATTAGTTCCCTTGGTAAAGCCCTTTTGATGATTCTGAGCCCCTGAGAGTTGTTTTCTTGTATGTATTGTGTACTTTTTCCCACTGAAGAGTGGGTGGATTTATAGGTGAAGAAGGCACAGAGCCATGAGGTGGGAGAGAACTTCACAAGAGTCCATTTAACAGGAAACTTTTGAGGCACTGAAGGGAGCAATGATGGCGTGGAGGACCTGCAGGTGGATGCCGCGGGATCTGGTTTGAACTCTGAAATAATTGAGGCCTCTCACCATTAAAAAAAAAATTCCCAGTTCTCAAATTGCACAGCTCCCCTCATTTGGGGAAGTAATGACTTTGACAATAACAGCCAGGGCCCTGGCCCTGACGTTGCTCAGCTGGAGGCTCCCAAGACTCACTTTTGGAACAGAAGAGTCAGATGCTTGGCTTTGAACCTAAGATATGTTACTCTGTGTTTTTAATTTTGTTTTATAAACCAAATGACAAAATCATTCAGAGCCTACACTGTTGTATATGTGACATGTACTGGAAAGTTAACTGTACTTGATGCATTTATTTCCTTACTAATGTGGAGAGTTTTATGCCTTTCAAACAGCTTTTGCTCACTTGTTTCATTTGATCGCCACAGCAGCCTCTACTGAGTCATAATCAAGCAATGAAGCAAAGAGGCAGTAATATCTACTTTTATCTATCAGGTTAATATCCACTTATCTTTATTAAAACCCTGTCTTGTTTTGTTCCTTAAACTGTAACATCACTTTTTCTTTACTTTCAAAATAATACTTGTCCACTACAGAAATGTTTAATCTACTGAAGGGTTTAGAAAATAAAATTAAAACCACCTGTTAGCCCATCATCCAGAGAAAATAACTTCAACTAACATTCTGGGTATATATCCTTCCTATTTTTTTCTATGTGTGTAGCTTTCCCCAAAATGAAGATCATTTTGTGTATGTGTGTGTGCTTTACCTGATAAGTCTTGAAATAAATCCTGAAAAACACACACATCTTTTAAAGATCGAATGGGTTCCATCGCATGGATATCTCATGATTCCCACGCTGTCTTGCAGAACTGCACAACGAGGGGGCTCCAATCTAACTAGTAATCTCAGAGCTCTGATCTTTAGCAAAGGATGGACAGGG